GCCCTTCTGGTCCTTTTGTGTGTGTGTGTGACAAAGGGGAGAGAGGTTCTCACTCTGTTGTGTGGGCTAGAGTGCAGGGGTGTAATCACAGCTCATTACAACCTTAAACTCCTGAACTCAAGCAGTCCTCCCACCTGAGCCTCCTGGTGACTGTCACCATGCTCATCTAATTTTTTTGTACACTTTTTGTAGAGACAGGACCTTGCTGTGTTGCTGAGGCTGGTCTCAAACTCCTGGCCATATATAATCTCCTTCCTTGATCTTTGAAAGTGTTTGGATTATAGGTGTGGGCCACCATGCCCGGCAAAAAGGACCTTTTATCTTTTACATCCCTCCAAAGCATTTAGCACACCCTAACCCTAACTGGTTGATGATAAAAATCAACATTGTCTAAAGAAAGGAAGAGAATGTATTAGATCCAGAAATGTTACTTCACTACATAGATCCTGGTGTTTGTTTTATTTTGTGGGGACAAGTTGACTTCAGTTTGGGAGTTTTTGTAATTATCCTGATGGCAGTGATGACAGTGTCAATCCCAAAGGTTTGGGGAATCCTCAGATAAAATAAGGGGTCCTGAGGCAGAGTTGCTTTTTTTTTTTTTTTTTGCATTTATATTGATATATCTTAGTTCTGTATGTTTTGGGGTAAATGTGATATTTTGATCTTCTATATAATATATAATGATCACATCAGAGTAACAGGGATCTCCATCACCTCACACCTTTATCTGTTATCACACGAGGAGCATTACAATTCTTCTCTTCCAGCTATTTTGAAATATACAATAAATTATTCTTAACTTTAATTTCTCCACTGTTCTGTTGAATACTAGAACTTATTTCTAACTATATTTTTGTACCCTTTAAAAGCATTTTTTATGTCCCATTAAGATTAGAAGGTAGCAGTCTTTAGAGAAATGATTCCTGCATTGACATCAGTTTTTGAATGGTGAACTAGGATTATTGAACATTGAACCCAAATTCATTTCGAAAAAAATTTAAATAATGCCAAACATTTGTAAGAAAAACTTACAAATAATGTGGAATAACAATTATCTTCTGCATTTGTAGCTGTGAAACTGAGGCTGTGAGGAGTAATTTACTCCCAAGGTAGTGGTGGAGTTAAGAGCTGACCCCACCTCCTGTTTGATATTGACATGAAGCATCACGCTAGGTGCCTGCAGCTATGTGAGACAATTAACACTTTTGCACAAAATAAATACAATAAAGTTTTCTAGTGTTTTTGTTTTTTTTATTCTTTAGGCATTCCAGATTAATTTTGGCTCCAAGACTTTCGAAACAGGGACAATATCAAGGTCTTTACGAAGAATGTATATACTGGCCTTGCAGAGATTTTCTAGAGTTAATTGCACACATACTGGTAATTAAAAGCAAGATGGGTGCGAGCAGGTGTGTTTACTAAGCATCTCCATCATCTATCTGCTTGCCTGTCTATCTACCCTGTTTGCTAAACTTCTCAGATTCTTCATTTTCATTTGTTTGCCTTTTTTTTAAGACATTGTAATTTTCACATACACATGTACTTGTATGTTAACTACACAAACAACAACAGTAATATTATGATAACGAATGTTTCTTAGGTACTTGCTATGAGCCTAGTACTTTCTAGACACTTCACGTGTATTAAACCACTGAATTTTCAAAACGAATTCACCCGCCCCATTTATAGGTGAGGCACAGAGAAGTTAATGTGTCCTATGGCAAACACTAGGAGATGGCAGCAGGAAGGTCACATGCCAGGAGGGTCACACCAGGCAGTCTGTGTTTCGGGGTGCTTCTCTGTCTGAGTGTGGAAGTGCTACTAGGGTCGCGTGTTCTTCTTGTACCTCACGGGTCTTTAACAGTGGATCCAGAGAGCAAAAGAACTTCTCTAAGTTAAGTCCAATGTCTCTGGAATCATGTTTTAAACTTGTATGTAATGTGGCACTCAATGCAATTTTTTAGGGCTTTTTTGTTTTTTTGCGATGGAAGAGATAAGTGATTTATCCCAGTTGTTGTAGAAAATTGACATAATAATCCCTAGTTTTACTTTACCATGTTGTCCCTTAGAAATATCTTACCACTGATGTGTTAAAAATGGGCTTAGGAGAATATGTGAGACTAAAACAATAAACTGTTTTTAAGTTTTTCTCCCGGTTAGTAAACGATCATTTTTATTATGTTTATCTTTGCTGCTTTAGGGAGCTATGAACCCTCACCCCCATTATAGAGTAATGAGGGTCATTTGTGGATTCTCTGCCCACAGGTCTCCCAGTTGACACACAAATCCCACACTCAGCATTTCTCCTCTTCCCAGAGTGAGTCTGGTCCTTGAAGGTCGTTTTTGTGTGGACTTCTGTAATTCATTTGCCCAGAGTATACTGTTCACTGGACATAGTTCACTCTCTGTTGATTAGGGTTGTGGAGTATTTGCTGTCTGCCTAGGTTTTGCAAATTATCTGTGGTAAAGGATTAAAATGTCAACATCAGGTCACTGGCCTTCAACGTGGTAGATGGGCTGATGTTATAGTTTTAAAATCTTTAAATAAGTTTATTTTTTAATATATTGAAGGACTTCTACAGGGAACTTTTTATGCAAAAGGAATTAACTATAGTTGGAAGTGATTCTAAAGTGGAAAGTATTGGATATTTTTACACATTAAATTTGAAAAGTAACATGAACCAATAGAAATACATCTTGCTTGTTACTTTATTCAACACTCAGAAACTCCTGTCTTGTATTATAGATTTTGGGGGGCATGTCTTTGCTTTTGATTTGTAAAATCCTTGCATATTCACATTTTTGTGTAGGTCACAAAGGCTTAAAACTATTTTTAATACAATGAAAACTCTCCAGGAAGATTTCAAATTAACTCTTGTCCAAATCAAACATAGCTATAAATCTATCTTATTCTTTGCACAAGATTATTTAAATCTTAGGGTTGAGGTGTATGGACATGGTCACTAAATCAGAGTCTGACATGACATCCAATAATTACGTATGAGGATGGCCATGTGATATTAGAATGGAATAACCATTTGCAACTCAGCAGGGTTACAAATAAGTAGAAATGGAGGTTTGTTGTCTTTCCCATCAAGGTAAACTCAGTTTTCCAAGTTGTGTTGCATGTGTAGTCAGTCCGTGATAACTCAGCGAGTTCTTTCCATGTTTCAACACGTATTTAATTCTATTAAGGGTTGATGACACAGAAATAAAGCAGCCAGGAATTTTAGTCTTCTGCTGTCTTCAAGGTGCTTCTAAGTTACTTAATAAGGTAATAGCAGTACTCCGAACTCTGCTACTAACCAGAAGCATGGCATTTTATACGTGCCCGGGTCTTGTTTTCTGGACCTGAACAGCGCAGGTGGTTCTCCTGGCTCTCCTCTTTCTTCCCACCTCCTAGTTTTCCTGGGTTTTTCTCAGGTTCCTCCTCCACCCTCAGACCTGTAAGTGTTGTAGTTCTCAGGGACGGTTCCGCCCTCTCAGCTCCTCTTCCCTATCTGCACTCCCTCTCCAGGGGAATAATTCATCTCACTTAAACTTCTGGCTTTAAACACTATCTGTGTACTATTTTTCTAAATTTTCATGCTAGCCAGGACTTTCCCCTTGAGTTCTAGATTCATGTATTGTGCAACACCACATTTTTACCAGATGTCCAAAAGATATTTCAAACTTAGCAGGGCCAAACAGAACTGGTAATTATGTTCCTTAAACGTGGTATATATCTTTCCCCCTTCCCTTCCTCCTTCCCCTTTCCCTTCTATCAGCTTTTCTCACCTCCATAAACGGCCTCAGTATTCTCTGAGTTGTTTAGGTCAAAACCCAGGAGTCCATACTGAGTCCCTTTTTTGCCCTCCCACTGCCCACCTGACTTGTAGTGACTGCTGACAGCTCTACTCCCAGAATGGATTTTAGAATCTGACGACTGCTGGTGCTTCCTTTGCCATAATCCTGGTCTAGGCTTCACTGGCTTTGGCTGGGGCTGCTGCCACACTGCCAGTGCCCTCCCTCTGCTCTTGCCCACTGTGGCCTGTGGCATTCAGACAGGGATCTTTTGAAGTGCAAAGCAGGTCTTGCCGTGCTGCTTTTTAAGAATTGACTATGACTACACAATAGCTAGAAGAAAGTTCAGCTTCCTTACTGAGGGCTAGACAGCCTTTCTCCTCTGCCTCCTCCCCCTCTACTCTCCCCTGTTCGTTCACTCTGCCATCACAACCTGGCCTCCTTTGCATCCACTCTTAGAACCTTTTCAGTTACTGTGCCTTTACTCAGAAAGGCCTCGTTCCTCCCTCCTCCCTCAGTCCCCTCCTGGCTCTGCTTTTCTTCACCCAGACCCCGACAGACAGGGCGTCACTTCCTAGGACAGCCCTTCACCATCGCACTCTCATCCACTGCACCTGCTGTTATTATCCTTAGCTTATCAGCATGTCAGCTGAGTTTGTTTATTTACTTGTTTGTTTGCTGCCTTCCCTACCAGAATGCAAGCTCCTTTGGGTGAGGAGTATTCAGTGTTGAATCCCCAGCACCTGGAACAGAGGCACGTAGTAGGTCACCAGAAAAATTAGTTGATGGTTTGGTTAACTGGCCCATATGTTCTCATCTGTAAAACCAAGGGCATGGAATCATTGATTTCAAAGGACGTTTCTAGTCCTAAGATTCTGCTCTAACCTCTTAATGCTGGATTGGTTTGAGGAAGAGAAGGGTAGTTTTACTGAGTAAGATACAGGTTTACAAAGCAAGATACATTTACCATAGACAGGGAGCAGACCCCACTGCCACTGGGAGGAGGCAAAGAGACCCCAGTCACATTTCTACTTGGCTTTTCATTCCTTGTAAGCAGAAAGAGGGGTAGTTTCTACACACCCACACAAGAGAAGAACACAATTAAATTCAAGTGGGAGAGAAAGGGAAAAAGAAAGGGAGGAGAAGGGAGGAGGGAAGGGGATTGGTGTGCTCTCACCTAATGGGCACGATGTAAGGCTACATGGCACCTCCTGGATGAAGGGCTCAACTACAACGGGGACTTTACCTCCCAAATACAAACAGTTAACCCAATTGTTTGAATGCTCATATCAATCTGAAATTTAAAAAATAAATAAAAAAATTACTGGATTGGTTTGTAATGAGGATAGCAAAACCTCCAATTTGTACTCATTGTCTAAGACCCGGATGAAGCTACATCTCCAACTACCTGGACCTACAGAGGATTCCCCCTCCAGTGTGGACAACTGTAGAGTCTCTTGTGCCCAGTCCGGGCTGGCTGTGCGCTGTTTGCTTTAACTGCGGTTTCACTTGAACACTTTCGAGGTAAGACCCAGTGCTGGTCCCAGCCAGTTTCTCTCATGATAATAATGACAATGCTAGTTATGTCAACACATGCCAGGCACTGTTTTTATTTGCCATGCATTAACTAGTCTATTTTTTACAACTATTCCATGAATTAACAAACAGGACGGGAAGTTAAGGCACGGAGTGTTGAGGGGCTCGCCCAATTCCTCACAGCTAGTAAGTAGTACATCTGCCATTAAACCTGGGGATTCTGCTCCCCAGTCTGTGCTCCTAGTCAGTGCATGACGGTATGTCGTATGGTACCTCACTCAGATGCTAAACGTATGTGGGAACTATGATAGATACCTGGTATTCATTTGAATGAACTCAGAGAATAAATGGGAAGGAAAGAAAATGTGCATGGGCAGTTCTGTGGAAGGAGTTGTATATTTTATCCTGAAAATATCTAAAGAATCATTCCTGGAAGCTGCTTATTCCCAAGTACCTTGTTTTTCCTGGCTGTGGCCCTCGCATGGCTGGCACTCACACTCAGCCTTCCAGGTCACTCTGTGTCTGCTTAATCCAGCAGTTTAGTGTCGGAGGAGCCAACTTTTTTCAAATAAATTCCACAGATGTCTCGCCTAACCTACTTAGCTTGAAAGGTAACCATCAGTATAACAGAAACGAAAATAAATTCAAACCTGATCTTCCCAGGAAGAGCAGGACTGATGTGGGTTAAAGGACTTTATTTTCAGAAAGACTTTTCTTTCTACAGGCCTTTATAAAAATATCATAAAATAAAGTCATGTGCAACTGTTTTTAAAACAGTAGGATAAAGTAACATGGAAGAGTGGATTTCACCTTGGATTTATGGTGGGACTGTCTGAAACTCTCATCGTCAGGGAGGCTTCGGTGCCTGACGCCGACGTCCTGGCTGGTGTGCGTTTCCTCTTGGGCTTGGTCTGCCCCCCATCCTACCCACCTGCCTCGCTGCTGCAGGTTCTGGGAAAGGGACAAAGCAAGATGACTTTATTTGGGAAGAAGAAAGAATAAAGCACAAGACAAAAAGGGCACATTCTCCTGCCAGCTACTGCCTTGTAACTCTCCGCCCTAAAGTTTCCATTGCCAGTAACAATGAATGTCACTTTGCCAATATAATAATAGTTTTGAGAAATTATCAGAGAATAATTGTCCTACTTTTTTGAATGGCATCATTGATTTTACATATATACATATACAGTGTTTGCACATATATATATGTATATGAAAAAGCTTGTCATTTACTTAAAAGGTAATTGGGTATCCATAACAATTTTTAAGGGGAGGAAACTTTCAAGATTAATCAGAGTGGATACGGACTAATTGTATGGACATAAATAAGAGTTTGTTATAATAACTCAGGCATGACTTGATGAGCCTGAACCTGAGTGGTGTCAGTGTCCTGGTGTATAAGGATAAAGGTGAGAATAGGTTAAAACTGTCTAAATGAAAACAAGGTTGGCTCAAGACTGTTTTGGAGACAGATTGAAGATAAGATGAGGCAGTATTAAAGTTACTCCAAAGCTATGAAAATGGCTTATAATACCATAACTCTTCGTGTAAATTTGAAAAAAAAATTAGACGGGCATTGTGGTGAGAAGATGACCAATTGATTTTGAATATACTGATACACTGAACTAATGTCAAGTGAATTTCATGGGGAGGGATGGATCTCCAAGTTTTTTTTTTTTGAGACAGAGCCTCAAGTTGTCACCCTGGGTAGAGTGTCATGGCATTACAGATCACAGCAACCTCTAACTCCTGGGTTCAAGTGATTCTCCTGCCTCTGCTTCCCAAGTAGCTGAGATTACAGATACCTTCCACAATGCTCAGCTATTTTTTGGTTGCAGCCGTCATTGTTATTTGGCAGACCCAGGCTGGATTCAAACCCGCCAACTCAGGTGTATGTGACTGGCGCCTTAGCCGCTTGAGCCACAGATGCCGAGCCAGATCTCCAAGTTTTTTTGACAGTGACCATAGTAAGAAACAATTTCACATGGTGACCTAATAGATACATGTGTAAAAAAATTTTACAAAATGGCAATAATCCTATTTTATACAATTCACTCTCATATATTCTATTACTTTTTTTTTACTAAATCATACTGATCATGATCTTGTTTAAAAATTGTTCTAAAGACAGTTGGAAATTAGAATCTTACTTTAGTAGATATGTTGTAGAGATTTTTGGTCATAAAGATCTTGTAGAAGAAAGGTCAAGGCTGACATAGGTTTTGGGAGTCACATGTCCCAAAGTGAGTTGGAATTCACAGTGAGTTGGATTCACAGAAGTGGACCACATGGCATAGGAAGTGAGCTGGATTCACAGGAGTGGGTCACGTGGCATAGGAAGTGAGCTGGATTCATAGGAGTGGGTCACGTGGCATAGGAAGTGAGCTGGATTCACAGGAGTGGGTCACGTGGCATAGGAAGTGAGCTGGATTCACAGGAGTGGGTC